TGTAAGAGAAGAAGGCTACAACAGCACAGACTGAATCTGACACAGACTGAATCTGAATCTGAATCTGAAAATAATGATCTAAGCTGCACAGAAAGAGCTGTGGCTCACAGGAACAGCCATGCAGTTACAGCAGAAACAAGCTCACCCCTTCGCTGTGCTGCACCACTGTGGCAATGTTCTGAAGGTTCTGGAAGTTGTTCACGTTGACAGAACCAAACTCCACAATCTCATCATTGACCTGAAGCCCCTGGACAGAGAGAGAAGAGAAATGAGCACCTGCCTTCTCCAGGGAGGTAACATCACAGGAGCATCACCTCCACCCAGCCACACGGGGAGGGCTGTGCTGTGACACTTCTCACCACTCAGGCAACTGGACTCACCCTCCCCATGTCCTCAGGAAGCAGGGAACCCTCACCAACCCCCCCCAGCATATTCCCGCTTATCAGCAATCAGCACAGAAAGCCATCAGCTGTCTTTTTTCTCAGGGCCCAGAAGCCTCCTCAAGGGTCAGAGCCCACCAACTCACAGAGATGCTGGCAGGAGAGCCCGGGGTCACAGCGTTCACCCTGGCAAAGGCCCGAGCCAGGCCCTGGCCCAGCGCCTCGGCCCGCGCCTCCGCCTCGTCCCTGGCCTGCTTCTCCTTGTCCCGGGCGTGCAGCTGGTGCAGAGCTTCCTCCACCTGCTTCATCAGGGCCTTGTGGTCATTCTGCAGACCTGGGGGTGACACCACAAGCATTTCAGGGAGCAGGAGGGAGTTACCTCTCTGGGCTTTCCCGGCACACGTGCTGCTCTGCAGCTGCACAAGGAGGTTCACTCCAGGTGTCTGGATTGCAGCTCCTGCTGCTGCACCTGGTGGGCCCTGGTGCCAGCCCTGCTCACACAGCCCAGACCTTTATCAGTAGAAGTCAGACACAGAGAAAACCACCCCACAAATTCCAGTAAATGCACAAGGAAGCAGGGCTTGGAGACCCATGGTCCCAGGGCTTGGAGACCCTTGGACCCATGGACCCTGATCTAGTGGGAGGTGTCCCTGCCCACAGGAGGGCTGGAACCAGATGTTCTCTAAGGTCCCTTCCAATCCAAACCAGTCTGTGATTATATGAACCCCCTGAGCAGCTGAAATCTTCTTTCCATCAAGTCACATACTGCATCTAGAGCAGAAGCCATCCCCACAGACAGGGCAGGGGCTGAGCCTGGGACAAAATAAACACCAAGCTATTTTTTCCCCACAGTTTATTCTACAAACACCACAAAAACGTTTCACTGTATCTCGCAGATCCCACGTGGCTCCACAGCAGAAGCAGAATCTCAATGTCACTGCAACAACACGTGGACAAAGGCATTTTGCTGACCAAGCTGATGGAGCATCGAGTAAAAATAAGCGAAAAGCAACCTCTGAGCAAGCCTGGGGTGGAGCTTTTGAAGAGCTGCAACCACCAGGCAGAATGACACAGCACTCCAGTGACCCGAGCGGTTGCACAGGGATGAGCAAGGAGATTCACTCCAGTGACGGAAACCTGCAGGTCTCAGCCCATTTCGGCTGGCTCATTCCAGCTGGAAGGGAAAGCTCCCCCGGCCTTCCTCCTCCTCCTCATCATCATCCTCCTCCTCCTCCTCCTCCTCCCCCCCCGCCCCCCGCGTTCCCACTCACAGATGATGTTGTGCCGGGCGGTGCGGACTTGATAGAGGTCGATGTCGTCGCGGGGAAAGCCTTCGGCGTCCACCAGCGGCTCGTTCATCCCGACGCCCTTTTGCTGTGAGGGAAGAGGAG